GTCATTGTGAAGTCAACGAATTACTGAGGAGTGAGGAAGAGTCCCAGTTGGTGAAAGAATAAGAGTATTTCTTGTGGTGGTCTTAAGAATTGGAGGTGGTGGGGTCAACACCACGTGGCATGAGCTATGTTATGGGAAGCTAGTGAACAAGAGTCGCCATAACAGATAGGAAGCCAGGATGATTTGCTAGAGAGGAACACTAAAAAGTGTTGGAGATTGCCTAAGGAAGGGTATCTGAGAGGGTCACTAGAAGTAGCACAACACCGTGGACAAAATTTAGAAGGCTTCAGACCTACCTTCCACTTTTGGCCATGCCTCTACCAGCATTTCACCTCCAGCAAGTGACTTGGAACTGCTAGCCTTATGCTGGACATATACATATTACTTTTTTTTTTTTTTTTAATTTGGTAAAGCTTTATTGATATTTAATGAACATAGCATTTAGTTCAGCTGTGTGTACAACTGAATGGATTTAGTATATTAATGGAATTGTGCAACCATTGCCACAATCAACTTTGGAGAATTTTCATCTTCCCAAAGAGAAACTCCATACCCAAGAGCCATAACTTCACAATGTCCCCAGCCATATGCAACCACTAATCTACTTTCTGTTTTTTTAATTTTTTTTAACGTTTGTTTTTGAGAGACAGAGAGAGAGACAGAGCATGAGTGGAAGAGGAGCAGAGAGAGAGAGGGAGGCACAGAATCCGAAGCAGGCTCCAGGCTCTGAGCTGTCAGCACAGAGCCTGACGCGGGGCTCGAACTCACGAACCGTGAGATCATGACCTGAGCCGAAGTCAGACGCTTAACCAACTGAGCTGCCCAGGCACCCCCTACTTTCTGTTTCTATAGATTTGTCTATTATGGACATTTCATATAAATGAAATCAAACAGTATACGGCTTATTAATAACTGGCTTCTTTCACTTAGCATGTTTTCATAGTTCATGTTGCATGTAGCATGTATTTGTACTTCATTCCTATTTATTGCCAAATTAATACTTGATTGTACCGTATTTTATTTATCCATTCATCAATCGATGGACATTTGTGTTGTTTTCCACTTTTTGGCTATTATGAATGATGCTATGAACATTTGTGCTAAAGTTTGTGTGGCCATGTTTTCCTTTCCTTTGAGTAGACAGACACCTAGCAGTGGAACTCCTGGGTTGTGTGGTAACTCTGTGTTTAATTTTCTGAGGGACTGTCAACTGTTTTCCAGAGAAGCTGCATCATTTTATATTCTCACCTGCAGTGTTTGAGGGCCTGAGAAATACTTAAAATCTGCAGCAGATGTTTTTGTTTTTGTTTCCTATGGTATTTTTTTTATTGAGATGTAATTGACATGTATGCAGATCTGTTGGTAAGAGTGCTAGTGAAATACAAAAACATTACAGGTAGATAGCTCTTCCTTTTTTCTCCCTTTTTGGACTATTGTCATGCATAGTAGGTCTGCATGTTACAAACAACAATACTTGGTTATAATTATTACTTTACATAATTTAATGCCTCTTAAAAGGAACAGAGAAGAAAGAACAAGGATATATTTGTAGAATTAAGTATATTAACCTTTTTTATTTTCTCTGGTTCTTTTCATTAGTTCCTGTGAATTCAAGTTACCATCTGGTGTCATTTCTGTACTCCAGTTCAGCTTTGTTCCTAGCTACTTCCTTTGTGCTAATAGCAAATATGACAGACCCCAAAATACAATTTATACATATTGTTTTCTATAATTGCTCTGCAAATCAGTTAAGCAGAAAGAGGAAATCTGCATTACACTGTCTTTTATAGTTACATAATTACCTTTACTCAGCTGATGGCCTGCACCTCCTGGGAAGATGCCTTAACACTCAACCAGGAGTTTTGGGGGGAAGAGAGGTTCCTATCTTGGTGGAGCCCTCCTGGAGTGGCCATCACTCTGAGCTGAGAGGAGGAAGATGTGGGTGGTGGTTCAAATGCCACAAACTTCAATGTGCTGGCAGCAGTTAATGAGATTTTCTTGTATGTTTCCTCATTAGGCTGAATGCCCTTGGGACAATTTCCAGAGACTTTGCCTGGTTGTGTTGTTCACCAGTTAGGGTTGTTTCACAAAGGGCTTTCATGTGTAAAGTTTGGTTTGTTCCTAGCAAATTTTATGAAAGCAGGGGAAGGATTTCTAGCCCTACAGATGAAGTTCAGAGACAAGTAACTTGCCTAAAATTATAAAGCTTGTCAGAACCATGTTTTCAGTCTTTCAGGAAGTGCATGCATATTCTGTGCTAAGCATTAAATTTAAAATGTTGAACAGTTACTGTCTAGACAGGAGACACAAAACAGACAATTACAAGTTCAAGTGCTAAAATAGAGATAAAATATATGGTGCTTTAGGAAACAAGAAAGGCAAAGGCTTGAGTAAGAATTTGAATCCAAGCATTTTGATTCCTAATTGTATTTTTCTTACAAATAGAAAGGATTTTATTTTATTTTAAAGTAGATACTGTGTATCTGAAGCCACAGTGGCAGAGGGTTCAACTTTGGTTCAGTTATTGCTGTTACCTTGGGCAAATCACGTCAATCTCTCTGCTTCAGTTTCCACATCTGTAGAATGGTGCCAGTATTACTCACCTTACCTCTTAGATTATAAAAGATTATACTTAGAGCTGTACCTAGTGTATAGTTTGTACTATACAAGTGGTTGCCAAAGAAATTCTATTAGCGAAAGAATGGAGTTAATACTGAACTCCCCCAGGGTATGCTTATCAGTTTCCTCAAAAATTATAAAATGCTTAACTTGCAAAAGCTGAAGTTGACTTTTCAGAGTATACTGCTTGCTTTATCAGTAAAATTGTTCCATTTACATTGACAACAGTAAGATTTAGGGCTAATTAAAAAGAACAAGAACTCTTGATCAGAAATAACTGGAACTTCTATAATCTTCCAGGTTATTCGTATATTGCTGTATGGTGATTTAATTTTTTTTTAAGATTTTTTTAAATTTTTTTTAAAAAATATGTATTTTTGAGAGACAGAGAGACAAAGCATGAGCAGGGGAGGGGCAGAGAGAGAGGGAGACACAGAATCCGAAGCAGGCTGCAGGCTGCGAGCTGTCAGCACAGAGCCCGATGCGGGGCTCGAACCCACAAACCGTCACGACCTGAGCTGAAGCCGGACGCTTAACCGACTGAGCCACCCAGGTGCCCCTAATTTTAATTTTTTAAGTATTGTTGGCACACAATGTTACATTGGTTTCAGGTGTATACTTAGTGACTGGACAGCTCTCTACATTATGCTAAGGTCACAACAAATATAGCTACCATCAGTCGCTATACTATTACAATACCATTGTTGACTATATTCCCTATGCTATACCTTTTATTCTCATGACCTATTCCATACATGGAGGCCTGTACCTCCCACTCTCCATCTATTTTGCCCATTCCCCCCACCACTCCCCTTTGGCAACCATCAGTTTGTTCTATGTCTATTTCTGCTTTTGGATTTTTGGATTCCACATGTAAATGGCATCATATGGTATTTGCCTTTGACTTACTTCACTTAGCAGAATACCCTCAAGGTCCATCTATGCTGTTACAACTGGCAAGAACTCATTCTATTTTACATGAATAATATTCCATTGTATTTGTGATGCCAGTCAGGCTGAGGACCCAAGAAAGAGGACCTCAGGCCCCTAAGAGGGTTCTTGGCTTTGTGTGAGAAAGATTTCAAGAGCAAGCCATTTAGACAACGGGACAAAGATTAAGTATATAAGAAAGGAGCTACTTCATAGACAAAGTAGCAGTCTCCTCCCAGGAGAGGAAGAGGATCCCCTTTTGCCTCTAAGGGTTTTAGAAGTTTTTGTTTCATTAACTAACCATTTATAGGGAAGGGATTACTCTTTAACTGGGTTTCTTATTCACACTGAGCAGTTCATTTTTCCATTGTCTTAAGAGTTGTAGGATAACCCACAAGGAAGCAATTTTAAGGAAGACCATCTTTGTAGCTTTACCATCAGGAGTGGTGTTTTGTGGTCTTCCAGTTGGATCTTGTGACTTTTTATGTCCTGCTTTTAGGTTAAGGGTCAGCCTAAAACCAAAATTGCTTTACTTTGGTCAACTTGTCTTCTAAGCCTCTCTTCCCTCTGGCCCCATATATATGCCACATCTCATCCATTGAACTTACACTGCTTCCAGATCTCGGTATTGTAAATAATGCTGCAATAAATTGGGGTGCATATATTCTTTCAAATAAGTGTTTTTCTTTGGGTAAATACCCAGTACTGGAATTACTGGACCATACAACTTTTTGAGGAACCTCTATACTGTTTTTCATAGTGACTGCACCAATCTATACTCCCACCAACAGTGCACAAGTGTTCCTTTTTCTACACATCTTTGCCAACACTTGTTATTTCTTCTATTTTTATTTTAGCCATTCTGACAGCTGTCAGGTGGTATCCCGTTGTGGTTTGAATTTTCATTTCTTCGACTATTAGTGATGTTGAGCATTTTTTCGTGTGTCTGTTGTCCACCTGTAAGTCTTCTTTGGAAAAATGTCTATGCAGGTCCTGCTCTTTTGTTGTTGAGTACCATAGGTGATTTTAAAAACATGATTTGTACTACAGAATACACTGAACTAATGCAGTGCTAAACTGATCTCCTAAGGCAGGAAAATAAACTGAAAGTGGTTCAAAACATAGCCCTCAGCCCAACAGGACACAAAATCTATTTCTAAGTCTTCCACCCCTACCTCTATCTCCAAAGATCTATATTTTCCTGGAATAGTATTCTATGTGGGGTATTAAGTGCCTATCTAAACACTGACTATATTTTAAAGTTTAGAATATTTTTATATTTTTCCTCTCTTAGAGCCACACTCTTATGATCAAACAAAAAACTACACTTTTTTAAATGGAAAAGTGTATCTTATTTTATTATTCCTAATGTAAGCATTTGATGCCAAAGAAACAAAGGTAACTTTACAAACTCAGAATGTTTGCAAGTACATGAAATTTCCATTTTATTGTAGTTTTCTGTCACATGAGCTCAAATGTGTTTCTCTACAACAACTTCAGCATAGCTGCTTTGGAATTATTTCAGTCATCTTTTACACGTGACTCTACCAAATACTTTAAATCTAAAATAGACATATAAAATTTTAATTAACTTTTAGATGAATGGGGTAAGAAATAAAGTCATCAGGTGATGGTTGGGATTGTTAATTTCCAACAAGAAACTGTTGAAATATTTCTTCTGATACAATAGTTATAAATAAAAATTTTCAAAAAAAACAAGGGTAGAACAAAAGTACAATAAAAGAAACTTCTGCAGCTTAAGCCTCCCATAGTCCTAAACCTGAGAGAAGCAAGGCAAAGCACCTTTCCTGCAAATTAAGTGGGTTTCCAGTATTTCCATGTAGTTAAGTTTTAGAAATACACACTCAAGACCTATCATTAATATATCTACTATCTTAGCTCTGGTTGTATTAATTATGCCTGAAGAGTTTAATACCCATCCAAGTCCAAAGGTGGAAGAACACATAAACTGGTATGGTAATGGGCAGGAGCAGACTGTAAAAGCACAGGCTTGCTGTGCTAGTGCAGTCCCGTGGGAAGTTTTCTTCCACAGAGGCTGAGTAGAACAGTCCTGCTAAAGAGACCAGTGGAATAAGGACAGTCAACGTAGGAAGAGACAGAAACATTATTCTCCCCCACTTATTACCTGCCAGTCTGACTTTTTAAAAGGTAAGTGGTATTAAGAAAATTTAGTTGTGTGTGTTGTTTTTAATTATCATCTAGTGCTGCTCCATTTCTTCTTGCTTCTTATTTTGATGTGTCATCCTAGCTGCCTGTGGTATCATATTAGGAATCCCATCAATAATTGGATAGGCTATTCCCAATTCTTCATTGATCAATTCATTTGTCGATGCTTCAAATCTGAGGGGGGCAAAAGGAAAACAGAATGAATTGTGGAAAATAAAATGCTTGAAAGAGCTTGCTTTTCAACAAGCACCATTTATCCAATTCTTGACAGATTTAATTCCAAAAAAAATCAGAATTAAACTGCTTTTAATTCTAAAAGCAGTATTAGCCAATTGAAACATTTCTCTTAGAAAATGAATCTCTATTTTCATTTTAGTCAGTTTCTCTCATATTTTTTCACTTTATTCTCAAGCTATACCTGAATATGCATTCTTTAAATCCAGTCAAAAAGATCTCCCCTTTTCATCCAAACATTCCTTCCTTACTCTGGTCAACCCCAAAACCATCCCAGTTAATTTACTATTAAACAGTCACTACAGAAAAATTCAATTTCCCCGTTTTAGAATGCATGCATGCTTAACAGAGCAACCCTACTGATCCATTAGAAGGAAACCACTGAAAAATCAAGATATACAAAATAAAAGTTTGAGGAACATGAAAGCACAGAAAGAGGAAAGTCTGGAAAGCAATGGGTCTGCAGTGTGCTAGTTACACAACGAAAAGGTAGTTCGAATGGTTATTTCAAGGTATAAGAAAATGAATGAGTACATTCATTATGGAAAAAAATCTAGAAATAAAAATGCAAGAAGAATGAGAATTAAAAAATGGCTAGCAATCTACCACCCAAAGATAACCACTGATAACATCTTGGTGTTTAGTATATTCAGTTTGCAATACTAGTGTTGTCAATGTTCAGTTTTAGTAGCCTGGAACTGTAGAGCTGTTTTCCTTAAAGGTTAAAGCCTTTCCAAAACCCAGCTTGTCCAGAACTAAGACCCAAAGAGGCAGCATACACAGCTTAAACGTTTACAATCGTCACGCATCAGCTGAACATTTTCACAAGAATCTGGAGGCTACTACAGTATTTTTCATCATCTTGTTTTAAAAATCTGAATGCCTTGGACCGGTCATGACTCCCAACAGCTCAAAAACCTGGCGATACATTAGAATCCGTTAGGGTCCTTTTAAGAAAACACCTTGCTGGTCCAGCCCCCAGACCGCCCAGCTGGGTAGGCCAGGGGTGGTGCCCGGGAATCTGCATTTAAAAAGGTGCCCTGGCGATTCGATTGCGAAACCAGTAAACGCTGCGATCCATCACTGTGGATCTGCGGTTTGATTTGGGCGGCCTAGGACTCGACTCCCCTCCGGCCTCCCCCCGCCCTTCCCGCCTCGGTGGGAGGTGCGCGATAGCTGAGCAGGCCGGGATCCAGAAAATGGCAGCAGGAAATACTCGGACTGACCTGAAGGGCGCCCCAGTGGCTGTGAACGGCCACACGGCCATCCCACCCGGTCCCCGCCACCGGAGGGCGCGAAAGGAAACTCGCAGCCACCGAATCTCACCTGAGCGGCTTCTTAGAGAGTGGGCACACCAGGAACTCGAGCAGGGCCGGGTCGAAGACGCGGGGCGCGTTCCCCGTCTTCTTGCTCTTGTCTGCGGACCGCCACGACCCCGACGCGTGAAGGCACCTACGGGCGACCGCGGACGGCAGCGTGCATGTACCCCGCAGCGATAAGGCGAGGAGCCAGGCGCGCGCTCCGCTCAGCATGGTCTGGCAACCAGCGACCACACCGCAGCCCGGGCCGCGTCAGCGATCTCCGCGGCGAGCCCCTCACCTGCCAGACTCCGCCCCTGGTGCTGTAGAAATGCAGTCCCGGGGCCGAAAGGAGCCAGCGCTTTGGTTCCGAGGTCGCTCCCGATCCGACCGCTTTTTCCGCCGCACCGTTCGGTAGTTCTGAGCACGGCCGGCAACTGGTAGCCGGAGGACTCTAGTGACTGTTCCACCGTATTTACAAATTACAAACAAAACCAATGCTTAAATTGGGTGAGTTGAGTTTTCAAACAAGGGGTTCCAGGCAGCCAGTGGCCTGACCTCAGAAGTCACACAGTGTTAAACTTGGCCTTAGGTGGTAATCTCCAAAAGGAGGTTTCAAACACAGTCATATTGGGTATGTTAAAGCATTGGTTTGTTTTATGTAAATCTTTACCATAGCCCGTGTGACCTTGTTTGTCTTTTATTTTTTCTTGTCTTATTAAATTAAAAGTTTAGAACCCGAAAAGAATCCCATAGGCCTCTTAATCCAAGATTCTTACCCTGTGGGACTCACTGTTCAACTGCATAATAAGGCACAACCAGTTAACTTCTATAAATGAGCTTGGAGTCAGCAAGGAGTCTAAACAGTGTCATCAGGCGGATGTCCGTTGGTTGAATGGGAGATCCATTCAATGGATTTTTCAACCCCAAGTTTGCCCTAAGGAAGTGATAACAGGTTTGATCTTTTTACAGTGTAGTAGATTTGGGCTCTGGGCCCTGGGAGCTTGGTTTCTGGTCCATAGTTTACTAGCTGTGTGACTCCAGCAAATGACTTAACTACTCAGTTTCTTTATCTTAAGATAATGGCACCTACCTCATGAAATCTCCTCCTGGGGACTAAAATGGGATAATGCATGCAAAGAACATTTAGAAAAGTGAGATAACTTAATGCTTAATTAATGGTATCTGTTAATTTTATTTCCTCTGTTCTTTCCAGTTCTGTATGCTAGAAGATTCTTTTGTTAGTCAAAAAATTTTTCCTTTTGTTTTGCTGCATATTGACTTGAACCTTTTTTGTATCATTGGATTTTATCATTTTACACTTTGAGGTCTTGGGAGGTAGGAGAGGGAGGGGTGTACACCGATACAAATACAAGATTATATTTGCAAATTTCCCTTCCACTCAGCAGTGTGAAAATGAATTGAGAAATTTTTATACTGTTTATTTACTCTATTTTTAAAAATCCACTACATTATTTGATGCTGTTTGTTTGCTAATGCTCAGAAGACTTCAGCATTAAGCAGTTTTCAGGGAGGTAGCCTCAAGAGGGACCATTGTAAAGTTCCTGTGTTTGCTTTCACAGTATTTCCTACTAAGGCAGTAGCAGGAATTAATATTTCAGTTGTAGTTAGTTGATACTCTGGGCCCTACAGAAGGAGTGGACTATAAGAAAGATATATTTTAACTATATTTCATCAAGCTGTGAGGAAGCAAGCCTTGACTTCTGCCAGCACTGAGTGGACCCAAGCAGGCTGGGCAGCCCTGGGGTCTTAGCCCTTGTGGGGCAGAGGCAGGCAACTTTATTTGAGACCAGTTTCATTACCCTCAGTTTGGCCTGACTGGCTGACTGATTGCTATCACCTGGGTTTTCTAACCAGTTATAAATAAATTAGTTTCAGTTTGCCTCCACACAGAAGGTTCAAAGCAGATCAGTTTACTTTCATTTACTTCAAATTTGTAACACCAAAAATCAACGATCAATATTTAGGAACATCTGAGTGTGTAATGTATTAGTCCAAACCATGTAAATATTAATTTATACAATGTCCTTAAATAGCCCTTAGTAATTAAGGAGTATAACTCATTTCTGCATGAAGTATATATACTAAGCTCAATGTAGATGGCAATATAGAATTGTAAAGTCATTAGTCCTTTTTTACTGTTGGCATGACTATCATCTTTCCCATCACAGAGCACTGTGCACATGTGTAATTATGTGATGGGTCCTGGGTTCAGCTAGTGTAGAGCTGTGTGATCTTGGAGAGGTTACTTAAACTCTTTGCCCTAATCTTCTCATCTCTAAGGTAGTATAATAATAGTACCCACCTTACTAGAGTTGTTGGGAAGATGAAATAAAATAATACAAGTGAAGCAGTTAGCACAGGGGCTGGTGCACACTGTACATTTAAAAATGCCAGCGGGGGCGCCTGGGTGGCGCAGTCGGTTAAGCGTCCGACTTCAGCCAGGTCACGATCTCGCGGTCCGTGAGTTCGAGCCCCGCGTCGGGCTCTGGGCTGATGGCTCAGAGCCTGGAGCCTGTTTCCGATTCTGTGTCTCCCTCTCTCTCTGCCCCTCCCCCGTTCATGCTCTGTCTCTCTCTGTCCCAAAAATAAATAAACGTTGAAAAAAAAAAAAATTTAAAAATGCCAGCGGCCGCAAAATGACTTGTTGTGGTGAAGTTGGTGAAAATCTGGTGAAAAAGGGAAAGCACAATGTATCACTGGGCACCTTAATTTTAACTGACATAGAATTTTTATCTTTTCCAATATGGATAATACTGACACACAGCTCTTTGGCTATCATATATATTAAGTGAGTTAATAATCTTCGGGCAGATTAGAGTCTAGAATATATATTTAAATAAATTCCCATAAATACCAAATTTGAGGGGCATTGAAATTTGGGAGTCTGATCCAAGGAAAGTTAAAATCCATTTTCCACTAGATGGCATCATCCAGTAGTTGAACTACTATTTATTCCTGCTTGTATTTTTCTTTCTATGATTACAAGGGTAATAGATGTATTTATTATGAGGAATCAGCTCATATGGTTATGGAGGCTGAGAAGTCCCACAACCTACCATCTGGTTGGTGTTCCATGGGATGGGACAAATGTGTAATGACATGTATCCACCATTATAGTATCATACAGAATAATTTCACTGCCCTAGAAATCCCCTGTGCTTTACTTGCTCATCCCTTCCTCTCCCCTAACCCCTGGAAACCACAGAAATTTTTACTGCTGCTATAGTTTTGCCTTTTCCTGAATGTTATATAGTTGGAATCATACAGTAGGTAGGCTTTTCAGATTGGCTTCTTTAACTTAGCAATATACATTTAAGGTTTCTCTGTGTCTTTTCATGATTTGATAGCTAATTTCTTTTAACTATTGAATAATATTTTGTTTTCTGGATATACCATCA